AACCATTTTCATTATATCAGATCTGTTTTTAATTTTACAATTGAAGAGAGAACAAGAGAAAAAATACTGGTTGAAATAAGGACAAGTTTAGTTTATCTGCATTCTTAGAATTGTTGTACAAAATGTCCATCTGCTGCTGTTTGGTGACAATGAATATGTAGTATCTGTTCTTGTCATCAAGAACCATCAATTACTTTTACTATACAATAATGTTAAGAAGACTTTTTAAGTTCTCTTCTTTTGTAATCTTAATATGCCATTATGTAAAATTACTGTCATATGCTATAGTATTTAGAATATAAAGCATAAGAAACATAAAAAGCAAACTCCATATTTAAATTTTTTTTACATGCTACTCAAGTATCTTTGCAATAGAGGAATTTTAACTTTATAAACATAAAAGACACAAACTTCTGCAACTGATAGGCACCTCACTTTGGAGCAATGGTCAGCAAGTTAGTTTTGCAGACCATGATTAGTGATGTGAGGTTCATTCTTATTTTGTATCTAATCCTATTCTTTATTGACTTCTTCTTGATCTTAAGCTGTACTAAGCTGGACTTATTAAATATCTATCCTCAACATATATATATATATATATATATATATATATATATATATATAAAATGTGTATGTGGCTGAGTGATTAGAATGTTTGAGCCATACTAAGCTCAATAAATATCAATAATACAATGTTATCATATGTTAGAAATTTATTGTACAAAATACTATATACTATCCAGACACAAAAGGAGCGAGTTAACTTCTGTATTCTTAATTCCTGTTCTCACACATTAATATTTGACCTTTTTCTTATATACTTTTACACTCAATAACCCCGTGTCTTAGTGGCTGTATTGCTTTGATTGGTGAAATGATTAAAAAAAAACAAGAACAAAAAAAAAAAAAAAACTATTTCGTCTGTATTTCTTAACCAACAATTGTTTTATTTTAACATCACCCACATAGGACTTTTTTTTTTCATTTTGTTGTTCAATTCCCCACTCACTATATTAAATATAAACATATCTAATTAATTGGAGGGGAGTTACAATTGAAAAAAAAAAACCTTTGTGATGATTACTTTTCAAACGCATGAATATTATAAATGTTCTATTTCTTATGTTTGTTAATCATTAAATTTTTACTTTATTTTAAATGAACAGCAATTTTTACAATATTCATATGACTTTTTAAATTTAATTTACATTAAATATACTCAAAAGTTTATAATACAAAATACAAACTGAGATAAACTTATACAGGAATTAAATGTTTTTACAAAAGTTTTTGAAAGATTATCTCATCAGATATGAAAACATATCAAATGCTTTATTTTGATATTCCAAGGCAAACTCTTTAATTCAAGTAACAATACATTTGTACACATCATTGTTTCAGCCAGTTTGATACTCCATATCCTCTTTTCATTGCATCCTGCAAACATCCAACATATGTAGACACTTATAAGGATTTATCTTTTCACAAAACTTTCATTCATATCACATTTTTTCCTTTTCATTTTATTATTATTTTTGCATAAAATAACTGTTGATATTTCTTGTATTGTCATGTTACAATAATTTTATGCAACAACAAAAAAAAAAACCCTCAAAGTTGCATAAAATTATTTGTAAAATGCATTACAAATGTATAAAAATCTATTTGTAAAATACAGGGGTAAGTGTGTGTGAGTGTGGTAACAATAATTTCAAACTATCTCTATGTCACAGAGTCTATGTTCAGAGAGCCTTCTCAAATATTTGAGGTGTTGAATATTGCTATGCAGAAAATAAAATAAACTAGTTGGGGTTGAGTTGTTAATGATTATTTTTGAAAATATGATTAACTACAAATTCCTTAACTTTAAAAGAAATGTAACATGTTTATGCATAAAAAAATACAATGAATTGAAGCACCACGACACAAGTAAAGAACATATTGTCCCCAACAAAATAAATATAAATGAGGAGCCCAACAAATCCATAAGATTACAACGTGAGTTTATTTCATATATCCTAAAGTAGATAAGATATCAAATGATTTACTAAGAAAATTAGCAAAGAGGTTAGTTGAAACATTCCAATCCAATTAGAAAAAGGAGCATGATGAACGACACTGACACAAAAAGGATGACGACTCCATAACTCAAAAATGAACCCAACATCATAGTTTTAAAAATGCAATCATCATAACGTGATAAACTGTGGTAAAACATAGATAATAACAACGTCTGTCTGACACATTTCCAAGATTTCAAGAATCAATCTTTTTTTTTTTTATGAAACAATAATTTGATTCGGTGAGAGAATGAAGTAGTAAGGTGATTGCAATGTGTTTGTGGTTCACGGAAATGGCTAAATTGCCCTTTACAATTTTTAAATTAAATTTCAACTTTTCATAAGTCAGTTTTCAAATAATATGCAAAGTAATTTTTCGAATCTCATATGCTGAATTATTCTTCTGAGTCTTGATTCAGTTTTGACTTCATCCAAGCTAAGCATGTATCATGATAAATATGAACCAGAACGCTTAAAAAAATGATAAAATTAAATAATTAACTAGAAAATCGGTAATAATCTGTAAAGGTTGGTAGTTGCAACAGAAATAAAGACAGTTTTTTTGTTTAATTTATATTTATATGTGAAACAATTTTGTTTGATATTTAAAAAGATGTTGTAAAGAAATTGAATTTATTTCTAATTCTTTCTTGTCTGTTTTATGGCTATAAATAAGAAAAAATGTCGAAAGCAATATAAATGCAAGTTATGTCAATGCTGGTTAGATTGAGTTAAAAAGACACGTGTTATCAGACTAGTAGCAGCAGCAGCAGCATGCAGTTGCATGATTATAACAACCAGGAAGTAGCTACTACTAACTCTTGTGTTCAAAATTAAATGATACGAAAGAAATACCGTGAAACCACAAACAATATTTCAATCTTTAAAATAAAACAGATTTATTTATTAGTAAATAACTGATAAATAGCTATTACTTAAAGAAGGTTTGAGTATTGTTAAAAAAAATAATGTGCAAAAAAAGAAAAGATCATAAAAAAATCAATCATTATTATTATGATTTCCTGTATCCTGTTAATTTCCGCCTCGAGACGGAAAACACTCAATGTAACAAGTCAAATATAAATAATATTAATTTAGAGTAAGACTTATAAGAAGAAAACTGTTGAATTAAGTGATGTTAAAATTCTAACTCTTTCTTCGTCCAGAGAGAGAAAGGATTTTACACCCAGCAAACTGTCAAAGAAATTACAAGCCGACGAATTCAATGAATTGTCAGTTGTCACCATGTGACAACGATGCTGTTGGAGAATAATAAAGACACCTTGCTACCGTACACAGTCAGTGCATTAATATCGAAAAATAAATGAAAATGAAGGGTTAAGAAATCAAACTCGAAGAAATTGAAATAATAAAGTAAAGTGTGTTGAGCGCAAAAAAAAGAAGGCAGTAAGCGAAAAAAGAGACAACTATTTAGCGACAGTACTGAAGAAAGAAAGCAAAGACTATCATACCAAAGCAAACAGAAATATTCCTTTTAAAAAAATTAGGGGTAAAAATAAAATAAAAGCGAGTGTGTATACAGTGAGAAGACAAGAAAAAGAAGACATGGCTGTATGTACCAAACCAGAGCAGTATGTTGTAAGAAGCCGGGCCGCCAGTGTGTGGTCGTAAAATATATATTGTTGAATTGTTGCGATTTAACAACAACAACAAACTGTAGCTGATGATAGAAAGCAAAGTCGGTAGGTTGTCACACCTGTTGTATTAGTAAGTAGCACAATAAATGATCATTTAACTCAGCAGTTAAGGCGGACCAGGATATTAATAATGTTATTAGTAAAAACTAGTACTAGTAGTAGTAAGAGAGGCAGGTATTTACCCCTAAAAATTGTCTTTTTTTCAGCTTGGTAGCGCTCTAATTGCCAGCAGCATCCATCTTCTCACTGACGAACCTTTCTTCTTTTTATCTTACTTTTTTTTTTATATACACAAAACAAAACTGCTGATTATTATTATTATTATTATTATTTATCAATTTCATTTCTATCCGGTTGTTTTGGTACGACTGCAAAGGTCTGATCACCGGACATTTGAACTGAAAACAATTGATACGGAAAGAATAAAAAAGTTTATTAAATTTTTTTTTAGTTTTCTTTCTGTCTTTCTTTTTCTGCGTTTGAAAAAAAGTTAGTTTTATATATTAAAAAAAAATCTCACTGAGTGAAAAATATTTGAAAACGATTTCAGCGAATTCATTTGTTGAGTGAGTTTCCAACTTAAGACTAAAAGACATAGGTAAGAAGAAGAGTTTTTAGTTTTAAAAAATAGAAATGTTCTTTTATTCAAACGAAAGAAATGAGCATTATTGCTGCATTAAATGAAGAATAATTATTTTTTGTGACCGTTAAAACCGTTCAACTCATTATGCTATTTTTAATTTTATTTGTATTTGAGAGTAAAATAAAATTTAATAATCCCTAGAGAGATTTTGTTTAACAATAAGAATTCACTGATGACAAATAAGCGCTGAAAATCAGAAAAATATTCATCTGCAGAACAAGTAAATATTTTTTAAATAACCACAAAAAATAATTGAATTTTAATAGTGAATTCCGTCACAAATTTTAAATAACTTTAATGTGTGTGTTGCTGTGTACTATGTTATGTATTAAGGTGTCGTGTGTTATGTGTAAAATATTGCATGTTAGTGTACTGTAGTACTATTAGAAGCAGTAGATTTTGTAGTGGATTGGAACTTGAAAGGGAAAGAGGAAACAAGCAGCAAGCGAAGAAAAAGGTTAAAAAAAGGAAAAAGCATGTCTGGTGGGAGGAGGAAGAATTAAAGCAGACGGTCACAAGAAAGCATAAAACTGGGAACAGGTGACACTAGTGGAATAAAATGGGAGTAGGAGAGATAGAGAGACGTGGAATGCTACGAGCTAACAATAACCATATGATAATAATAACATGGAACAATCACTATGAAAGGAATGGGGTTTGAGAGAGAGAGAGAGAATTAATGAGTGAGTGAGTGAGTGAATGGTGGGAATCGATGATGAGGAAAGGCCGATTGGCCGGTCTGCCTGTCACAGACACAGACAAGACACGTTCTTTGGTTCGTTCGTTGTGTATTTTGGGGATGAGGGGTGGAATGAATGGAAGCGAGGAGGATGGATGACACGGCTGGCTGCTGACTGACTGGTACAACTGGCATTGGCAGTGACGAAAGAGAGAAGGAAAGAGAGAGAGAGACGAAAAGAATGATAAGCGAAAAGAAAGATAAAGAGAAAAGAAGCGAAATGATAAAAAAAGAAGCGAAAATACAGAAAGAAACAAAAAAGGTACGAAAGAAAGACCTAAAAGAAAAGCGCGAAAGAAAGAGTGTGTAACGAAAAGAAAGCAGCTAGTAAAAAAGGAGGGGGTTACGGATGGAAAACAAAACAGAAAAGAAAGAAGAAAGGAAAGAGAAAAGTAGTAGTTGAGTTGAGTAACGTTGTTATATGCACACATGCATTCTTCCACATCACACAACACGGTAACATCAGCCGACAACAACAAACTATACAAAATAAAAATAAAATAATAAGTTGAGGAAGAAGAAGATGATATGCAGTCTGCAATGCTTTGCGTTGGCATGTGCAACTAACTAGGAATTCCGTTATTTTGCTATTTTTAGTGAATTTTACACTGTTCGGTAAAAATAAGAGATTAGTTTGGGAAGAATGGGAGGTTTGCAACACACGGTGTTGCTGGTGCATAATGATTTTTTTTTAACTAAATAAACTTAAAAATTAATACTGAATAATCTGATTAAATAAAAAACTAGAACATCTCGTCTTTCTGTAAAATGAAATGAAAAGTAATTGTTCTTTCTTAACTTTAGAGATCAAATTAAAATCAGAAGTTTAATTAACATTTTTTTAAAATTTTAATCAATTTCTCTAAAACCCTGAGAGAAAAAAAAGACCATGACCCACATATGGCATGTGGATTGTTTCTGTTCAATAAGCAGAACGGCTATCAAGATTCAAGAAAGGAAGAGCTTTCTTTCCGATTTTTGCTAAGTGAGCATATTATAACGAGCCTCACCAGCTTGGTATCTGGAGAAGAACTTCCAAAAACCTCACAGACGTCTGTTCTCTATACCAAAAAAAATTATAAACTAGAGACTTTTCTTGTCCCCTTTTTTTTTTTATTTTATTACATTTTTTTTATTTTGTTTTTAAATGCTGGAACGTGTTTCTTCGTTTATTTTAAAAATTCTCTGGCACATAAAAAAAAAAAAAACTTGTACTTGACATCCTTTCCCAGACATTGACATGTTTTCTAACAAGTTCACCGAAATAAATTATTACGATCCTGGTGATAAAAATATAATAGTAAAGCATGTTGTATATAATTTTTCTCCTCTTATAGTAGCACTCAACAAATAACACTGCAACAGCGAGAAATGAAAGGAGGGAAAAAACAATCCAAACGTGGAACTATAGCACCATTGATCGACACAGGCATGTTACTTGGTGCGTATGGGTTATAATTTGAAATATATCAAGGCAGGTATATTTTGGTCAGCATAAAAAGTGAGAAAAAGCGAAGAAAACGATGAATTTATTGATGTATTGAGTTTTTAGGATTTCTAAATAAATAAATAAATAGACAATGACAGAGAAGGAAAGAAAAAAAAAACAAGCAGTCGACATGCAATTGGCAGTGGCAGTCGGTCGCCTGCTTCGGAACGAAGAAGCAGACGATATTCATCCTGTTTCCATTCCTTCATCATTTCTCTATGAAGAAATCCCAGATTTTATGACAAAAAGGGGTCTATTCTCGATAAACTTGATTAAGTAATGATTCTTATTAAACATACTGTCGAATTAATTTAATTTCGGTTGGTTTTACTTTTGACTTTAATTTCAAGTTCGGATAATTTGATTAATGACTCAGTTATCTGAGCAACACTGGAATGGAAAACAAGGGGGGAAATGCAGTTGAAAAAGGATCGGATTTCTCTTTCGAAGAAGAAAATACGATTCTAAATTCTTGAAAGTATTTAATAAACGAAAATAAAAACCGGCAAATGATAGATTTTTGATTAATATCATCATTTTATTGTAAAGTTGTAGGACAATTTCATTTATTTATTTAGAAAGAAGGAATCCTAAAATGTTTTTACTGCCAATGTCCAGCCTCTGAAGAGAGACATTTTTTCTTACATATCAGGTGGTAAAATTGGAAGGAAATACTTACAAATAAAATTAATAAGATGTAAATTAGGAATATCCCCCCTTTTATGTACAATTCTTCTTCTTTTATCTTTCTTGAATTATTTCAGTTCGATCATGGATTTGGAAAATGTGAAACCCACATACACACAAAAACTAAACACGTCATTTTTTAGGAATCCCATGTAAAATTAAATGAAGAAGCAAGACAACCAAAATACGCATCATGTTTTCCCTTAAAAAATTATCGGGGATTTTTGTCTTCTTTTCCCCCTGTTGGTGTAAATATGTTGTACATAACAACAAACAAATAAAACTCTATGAAGAGGAACTAGCACATAAACTTAAACATTAAATGATAGAAAGCAACAACAGCAACAAACGAAACAGTTCTAAAGATAAAAAAAATCAAAAAAGGGATTATGAACAACGATGACGACAAATATGGGAAAATATTGAAATAAACGAAAATAATAAAGATAAATAAATACAATTGCAGAACATTTTTACAATGATAACAACAAAATCTTACCGATTTGTTAATGTTATTGTGAAGTGTAATAATTTATAAATAATAATGAATGATTAATAATAAATGTTTGTTGTGTGTATTTGCGTGTTTTTGATGTTAGAAAATGCAGTGTGCGTGTATTTTTGGGAAAATATTAATAATTCTTATTATTAGATGATGATGGGCAGTGGCTAAAATTAGATTTTTTTTTTGTTTTCGTCTTTCACCAGAGAAAAACCAATAAATATTACATTTCTTTTTCTTTCTTTCTTGCTATTTTTTCTTTTGTTTTTTTAGTTGTAAGTACGTACTTGGATGAGGAGAAAAAGAAGAGGATGGATGGATTGATGGATGGAAAAGCCTTCTTTCCTAGTTGTTGCATTAGCTTTATGGGAGTTAGAGAGAGAGAGAGAGAGAGAGAGAGAAAGAACGTACTACTACTACTTGTTTCTTTTTCTTTTCATCACCACCACCATCATCATCATCAACATCGTTTATTTGCACTAAATTATTATTATTATTATTATTATTATTGGGGATGACGACGACTAACGACTGCTGCTGTTATTATTGCTCTGATCAATGATAATGATGAGAAATAATTAGAGATGATGGGTGATGAAAGACGAGGGATTGTCGGCCGAGGCATTTATGATTTAAACCAGTGACCCCCCCCCCAACAGTTGCAGAAAAAAGAGAGAAAATCAAGCAATGAACGAAGACAAAAAAAAAAGAAAGAGATAAGCAAGCAATGAACGAAGAAAAAAAGACTACCCGAGTGATGAGGAAGAGAATGATGGTACCATCATTCACAATCATCATCGGTGTGTCTTTCTTCTTCGTCAACCAACATTTAGAAAAAAAAATCATGTTCTCTGATTCTTCTACTTTCTAAAAGCAAAACTCAATAATTTTATAAAGAAAGATCAATGTTATTAATTTTTTTTACCCTGTCTCATATTCAATTTAAAAAAAAAAGGTGGAATTGAAAGTGTGACATTGCAAATTCAATTCCACCTTTCAAAATTTGATGACAACCGACAAGCAACAACATGGATTTTTTCATGACTAAAAACAAACAAAATATTTAAAAAATTTTATCTCCATGAAATTGAAATGAAATATTTTCTTTGCTTCTTACAGCATGATTTGTGACAAAGAAATCAGTTTGTCCCATATTAAATAAATATACTAATAATCGTTGCCTAAGACAATAAACTTGTGTGAACTGTGAAGTTATTTTCCTCGTTATAATTCACCCGGTAGCTTTTTTCAGTAGTTTTCTCGGGGATCAGTCAAAAACAAGTTTGCTTGCAATATGAAATAAGGTAAAAAGTCATTTTAGTCATTTCGTCACACACATTCCTTTCCTATTAAACAACGTTGTGATGGTTTGTTTTTGTCCCTTTTTAATTTTTATGTTCTGTTTATTTCACGTCACCAAATAATAATGCTGTTAGTATTTCGTATGAAAAATAAAAACAGATTCATTTTTGTTTTTGCTCATATTATAAAAAAAGAGAGAAAAGGAACCAAATGAAAACATCACGAACTCTTCCCGATTATTTTACTATTTTTTTTCCCCATTCTCCTCGGTATTTTCTTTCTCCTTGTTATTGTTTTGAAATCTATAGTGATATATTCGTATATTTATATTTTGTGGGCTAAGGTTTAAGCTTACCTTTGTTTATATCTGAGTTTCTTATTCAGAAAAAAATAATTTCAGTATTTTCTAAGATGTTCTAAATTGTAAAAATCGTTAAAAATTCTTTTTCCTAAAAAAATTAAAAAAACAAATAGATTTACGCCGAGTATTTTCCTTCTTTACTGACTCGAAAGAAGGCAGATTGTTCTTCATAGAAAAATTGTCCACTTTGCCACATTTTCGTATTTGCATGCTTTTTATACACGTGTTTTCTTTGCCATATATTTTCTTAGTCACGTTGGAAGTATAACTTTTTCATCTCTCGTTTCATTATCAATAGTCTCTCATTTCAGTGCATGATCACATACACACCCTTTTTATTTTCAAGTTAAAAAGAAACTCCCATATTTTTAGTTTACATAACTAAGTTAACTTTATAATTTTTATTTTTTTAAGTAGACGTTTAATTTTTGTCAGTTTCTGTTTTTACAGTAATAAACCAAAATAAGACTAAAAAAATTGAAAGAAAATAACCACACTTACTATGACGTACTGATTTTTATCTAACCAATATTTGTTAAAGGTAGCTGACTTCCTTTTATTTTTTTTATTTTTAAATTGTTTATAACTTTATCTAGCGCATCTCCTGCGCAAAAAACAAAACAAAAAAAAACAAACACTAAATCTTTTTTGAAAACCTGTGGATGACTTGCATTAATTGCTCTCTAATTGATAAACTAAATTTGTAAGCGGATTTCATTAGTTTTTTTTTTAATTAAAGTTTTGGTTTCGTTTAACTGTTTGTAAATTTTCCAAATCACTTATTTCTGCCAGAATTGTTCCAGTTAAAATTCGTTTCTTTAATTTAGGCTTTTTTTTTTTTTTTTTTTTTTGCGGTTGTCCGTTTTCTTAAATTTTTTTACATTTTTTTTTTGTCACATCCAAATAAAAATCGACAAAAATGATTTAGTTTCTTTACGCAGAAATGAAATAAAAATATATTCCAGTATTTTTATCAGATCGTCATTAAAATATTTTCGACGTAATTCGTACTTTTAATTATTTTCAATTTCAACCAAAAATAACAACGTATTCAAATAAACTCCATGTTAGTGTTTATTTTATGCTTAAG